CTTGCTTGTGTCCTCTCCCACACCAGGCTTCGTAAGCCTAAATCTCCCATCCTTACTTGGCTCCACAGACTCCCCACATCCCACAACATCAAATTCAAGATCCTTGTCCTCGTGTTCAAATCCTCATCTCACCCTATTTCTGTGACCTCTTCCAGCCCTACCACCCCCTTGTCAGCTTCATCTCCCCCACCTAATCCACCCCACCACTGATGAGCACTTTCAAACATTCTGCCCTCACTCTCTGGAACTCCATACCAGAGTCCCACCAACCTCAACCCTCCCAACTTCAAACCTGCCTTAAATTCCTTTCAACACTGTTTTCAGGCAGATTTCCTCCTCACGTGAAAGAAAACAACATTACATTTATATAGCGCCTTTCACATCTTTAGGATGCTCCCAAAGCGCTGGACAGTCAGTGTTTCGGACCCGAGCTGGGGTTTGGGATTGGGGAGGATAGAGGGTAGTGGGGGAAGCAGGGTGATCAAAAGTATGGTCGAAGAGGAGGGTCTTGAGATGGGTCTTGAAGAGAAAAGGGAGGGGGCAAGGCTGAACAACTGCGAGATGGAGTTCCAGAGTGTGGGGATAGAGTGGCTGAAGGCCCGCCCACCAATAATGGGGCAGGTGAGACAGGGGATGTGAACTCTGTCTTTCCCTACCTCCACAACATCGCCGTGTCTCATACCACAGGCTGTCGAAACCCTCATACCACATTCATAACATCTACCCTTGACTATGCAAACCTCATGCTTATCGGCTTCCCCAACTCCTCCCTCCATAGGCTGCAGATCATCCAGAACTCTGCAGCCCGTGCTTTCTCTGCAACTAGGCTCTGTGACCCTATCAACCCCATCCTCGCCTGCCTCCACTGGCTTCCCATCACACAGAGGATACAGTTCAAGATCCTGGTCCTGACCTTTAAAGCCCTCCATGGCCCTGTTCCCCCCTACCAACCTGCCTGCTCCCTCCGCTGGCTCTGGCCTGCTTCATGTCCTCTGCCTCGATCAACCCCACCATCGGCACGCGAGCCTTCAGCCAATCTGCCCCCACCTTCTGGAACTCCATTCCACAGACTCTCCACCTCGCCCCCTCCCTTGCCTCCTTACAGACCCATCTCAAGACCCTCCTCTTCGAACACCCTCCTTCCCCTCCACCCTCCCCGATCCTGAACCCCAATTCAGATCCAAAACATTGTCTGTCCAGCGCCTTGGGACATCCTCCTGAAGTGAAAGGCACTATACAAATGTAATTTTGTTGTTGTTTTTGTGGAGTTTAACTTGCGGGCAGCATTAAAGGAATTCTTGGATGTCATCAACAACAACAACTTGCACTTATATAGCACCCTTCACGCAGGGTAGGGTCTCAGAGAGCTTAACAGTGGGGGAGCCTGACTCCGAGCCGGGGGAGAGGGAAGATGGCTGTAAGCATGGTCCAACAGGAAAGTCTTCAGGCAGGACTTGAAAGAGGGAGAGAGGGGGTAAGGCGAAGGGATTGAGGGAGAGTGTTCTAGAGTTTTGGGGCTTAGTGGCTGAAAGCTCGACTTCCAAAGGTGGGTAAGAAGGTGCAAGGAACAAGCAGGAGGCCGATGCCAGTCGAGCAGAGGCGCCGGGTGGTGGATTGGGGAGTGAGGAGGTCGGAGAGTTAGGGAGGTGTCAGGAAGTGAAAGGATTTGATCACGAGCATCTTGAAGCACAGAGTCCCTCCGACTCTCTCTCTCCCCCTCCCCTCTTTGAAAGCACATCAAGACCTAATGTTTGACCATGCTTTCAGTCATCTTTTCCCCTTCCCATCCCACCTCCCTAGGCTCCCACCCCCAGCTCAGGTGCCGAGCCGACAGTGTCAAGCACTTTGAGATGTCCTTCCAACGTTGTTATGTTTCTGGAAGGGAAACACAAAATATTGCTTATGCGGTCCGTGGACCCATCTCAGATAGTGAATCCAGCCCTCGGCAGCAAAATGATTGGACCACCCCGATCTAAGGCATAGGGAGAGCACCATAGAACTGATATTGGCCTCATAAGAAAATAAGAATTGGAAGTCCATGATACAGGTCTTCAAAATGATCAGAGCCATGGGTGACATAGATGTAAGGGTGCAGTAGACATACACAGGTTATTTGACTCATATCATGAGAGCAAGAGAGTTCAGGTTCAAAATTAGAGAAGCTTCAAGTGGGATTAAAGTTCACAAGACTTGCTTTTACCATCAGAGTAGTGGCTGTGTATAAAAGACTCCCAACCAAAGCAGATGATTTATTTTGTGATGTGATAAATCATTACATGATCAGCTGAGAGGTGCTGAAAATATGACCCATATTAATTTTTAAAGGGATAATTCAGGGATACTAAGGGATACTTAGTAGGTTAAGATACAATAAATCATGTGATTGCTTTTCACTTTTTCAAATAACAATCCTTGCCAACTTGACTAACCAAGCTACTGTATTAACACTCACTACCAGTTCTAATCATACAACATGCCATCATTATGCTGAGATGTTATGACATTTGTTTATTTGTTCTTGAAAGTTTTTTTCTTACCTATTCATTATTGAAAATTATTACAATTTTATCAAACATGATGTGGGCTTACATTACTTTTACCTTCAGAGAATGCTGATGGGTGTAACATTTGTTTAACTGATCCAAAAATAAAGTTATTGTTTGTCAGTTGGGTATCTGACACACCTGGAAACCTGTCGCTTAAGAGTATCCAAACCAGACTGAGAGTTTTACATATGTTTACCACCTAGATATGGAAATTCCCATGTGTGGAATAGGGTCTGCACTTTTGACCAAGCTCAAGGAGTAGATGTTCAGAACAGAGACTACACTTGATCTTAGCCAAAAAAGTTGTATTGTATTGCATCTGACGTGCTGAACTCCAAAGTGGAGATTTCTGCTGGTGAAGGGGTGACATGTTGAGCTGTTCAGCCTTCCTCTAAAGGCCTTGCAGATTCCACAGAAAGTGAGGTGCACTCTGCAATTTAGTTAAACCATTTTATGTTAGCTTCATGACCTCAAACAAGCACATCAGTCTGCAAAAATATAACCTCGTAATTTAATTTATTTCTCTTTGATCTACTGCTTTTTGGAACATGAACCTGATACGTGGTGTTAGGGGGAATCTTAATCATTCAGCAGTGCATGTTGTGGCTTGCCAAAACAAAAGGTCTTTACAGGCAATACATCCATTACTAGCTGATGTACTAGTCAGAAAGAACAGCCTATAACTGAGATTACTTGTTATATTTATCCATACAGACAAATAATGAAAGATTCTGTATCTATTTTACCCATTTATAGAGCAGACCAGCAACATTATCAATTGTGGGTAGATCGCAGTTAAAGCATCTCACTATAATGATAACCTACATTTGATATAACTTGGCACCTGAGCTGGGGATGGGGAGGGGAAAGATGACAAAAAACACAATCAAAGTGGTAAGTCTCAAGTCAAATTGCAGGTGAACAATAGGTTGTTAATACTTGCAAAGAAACTGCTTTCTACTGTAATTGTTCATTGTTGAGAATTATTTTACAAAGAATTACGGCATAGTAACTCGAAGACTCAGTGTGCTTTTCTTTTCGAAAAAGGAATCCAGCTTTTATTCCTGTTTCGCCCACAAATATACTGTCAATTCACTTTACAGCATATTCTGTGAAGCGCTTTGAGACGTCTAGAAGACATAAAAAGCTCTATATCAAATGTAAGGATTATTATTTCCAGCGCCTTGGGACGTCCTCCCGACGTGAAATGCGCTATACAAATATAAACTGTTGTTGTAAAGGCCATCCAGAAATTCTTACAAGCAAATTACCGTTTTTTGGTGGAAAACTATGCATAAAGGAAAGACAGGTGGCCAAATGAAGGCCAAGTTATAGAGAACAGACCTGCAAAATTATCAATCGATGGTATAATCAGCCTCTGGGGCCAGGCCCACTGTGTGAGCTGCCTACACTGTACAACATTCACGTTCTGACATTTACCCCAATTTATTTTACATAAGAAGTGCCACATCAATGTAAGTTGTTATTATTATCTATATGGAAGCTTGGATTCAAACAGACTGAGGTTAACATCAACAACAAGGATTTATACAGCGCCCTCCATGTCGGACGGCGTCTCAGCGCTTGAACCTTGGTTAAAGCCTTGGTTAGACCTCATTTTGAGTACTGTGTAGCTCCAGTCACTATACTACAGGAAGAATATTGAAGCAATGGAAAGAGTACAGCATAGATTTACAAAGATGTTACCAGGGATGAGTGGATACAACTATCAAGAAAAATCAGACAGGTTGGAGCCTTTTCTCTTTGCACGTGAAATGATTGAGAGAGGAACTGATAGTGGTGTTTATGAAAATGAAACGATTCAATAAGATGGATGTTAATAGACTGTTTCCACTTGTTGGTGAGTCCAAAACAAGGGGGAATAAATATAAGATAGCCAGCAGCAGATCTAAGAGGAAGTTTAGGAAGAATTTATGTAGATACAGGATGGTGAGAATGTGGACCTCACTGCTAGAAGTTGTGGATGAAGCAGTATCAACATCAAAATATTTAAGAGGAAATTTGATGCTTACACGAGAGAGAAGATGGTTATGGGAGAGGGGACTGTGATAGGCAGAGGTTCAGATGGGGCTCATATGGAATATAAACACCAGAACAGACAAGTTGGGTAATGATCTGTTTTGGTGTGGTATAGTCTGTATAATTCTATGCAATTCCATGTATTATAACCTTGAGTATGTTCTCCCCATCCCTCTGCCATGATCAAATAATCCATTCACTCTTACTTTCCAGGCTCACACACCACTGGGCTAGGCTGAGTGGATGAAGAATTAGTGTGCCACTAGCACACTTCAAAAGTGTTCCATAACTTTCTAATTAATTTTTTTTAAAAACTACCTTATGAAAATACAGGTATAGAATCTACAAAATAGCACTGTACACAAACAAAACTCCCAATCCCTTTACCTTAGCATTGAAAAAAATTCAACAAAGATGTGCATTCTGTCATTTTCACCTTCAGATCAAAGATCCCTAAGCAAGAACTGCTCTTTATGTCGGGATGTCCACCATTTCGGGCAAGAGGTAGCTGAGCTTCAGAAAGAGTTTGAACAGATTCAGCAATTAATTCTGGCGCAGGAGCCCATACTGGACGAGACACTGCAGAACCACGTAACACTTTCGATGGATAATAAGAAAATTAACAAGGAAGTTACCAATTATTCAACATCTGTCAAGCAAATCAACCAAACCTTGGAGAATTTTTCCATCCAGATAGATGGCTTGCAAGCACTTGTAAAGGACCTGGACACGTTCCTGAGGAGATTAGCCCAGGACCAGTATGAGATAAGGATTGGGATGCAGCAGATTAACTTCACTACCAAACAGAACTCATTGTGGCTGGAGGAAATCCAGAGGAAAACAGATGAGGAAACCTTGATTTTGCAGAAGGTCACGACCGATTGGCTGAACTCCACCAGAGTGTTTGGAGTTATAAAGGCTTCTGTCAGCAAGACAAATAATATGGTGAAAAAGATTCAGAGCAGTGTGGCCTACACCCTTCAGAAGATCTCGCAAAATTCTGAGGCTATGCATGACTTAAGCTTACAAATACTAACCGTGCATGAACAGTTTGAAAATATATCCACCTTTCTGGACGACCATGAAGAAAATATTCAGGATATTCTTTACCATGCAAAATATTATGAAAATAGGACAGCTGAAAGGCTGGAAACCATCAACAGGCGAATGGTTTCCCATGAAACCGAAATTAGCACCATTCTGGCTAACATAAATGCCACAAACAGTCATGTACACAGCATGATAAATTACATCAGTGATGTGAGGGGATCTTGCTCTAATGGCCTTAGTGCACATTCGGACGAGCTTTATTATCTCAACAATTCCCTGATGTTGATGCAGAGCACCGCTGAAAGCCTAAGGCAGCGTTACAATCTGCTGAGCACAACACTGACTGATGAAGTAAGTAAGCTTGGCGTTGTCATGGAGGAAATGAAAATTATTGACGTGAAACATGCGGACACCATCAAGAACTTTACCATTATGAAAGGTAAGCAATTCCATATTCTTATATTGAAACATTGAGATGCCAACGTGATGTGGTATATTCCACTTCCGCACAGATCTCAAATTCCACCTTAGTCTTAGCCTGTAAGCTAAGATATATTTTGTCTTAAAATTTAAGGTCAAATTGTGAATTGTGAATGCAGAATTGTGGAATATTTTTCCATTCAGCCTCAATTGGGAAGAAACCCATTTACGAAATGCAGATTCCAAATTATGGCTGAAATGAAGAATGTTTCAAAATCATCTTACAGACTAAGACTGGGTGAAATTTTGGTGTCTCAGTGTTAACAGCCGATGGTGACAATCCCTTCCTCCAATTCATTAAATCAGTTCCACTTCAAAGCTGCAGTTATTGAGCCAACCGGTGTTGCTTATGAACCTTAGGATTCAGCATCAGTTCAGGAATACTGGCTCACACTTAACATCGGAGACACCTCTTTTCCAGGGGTAATAATTCCTTAAAAAAAAAAAATAACAGCAACTTAAATTTATATAACGCCCTTCACACAGGGTAGCGTCCTGGAAGACTTATGGGGGCGGGCCATTCCCAAATTCGTCAAATTTCTTTTCGAAATCAAATTTTGCATCACAATTCTTTTACTGATTTTCTCCCCACTGGGATTTGTCTCTCTGGTCCTGGTCTGGCCTCCACTTGCAATTCCACAAGCACCTATTATTCATAGGTGAGCCTTGGCAGTGAGTGTTGGCAATCACTTGAATGTCATGGGTGTCACAGCCAAACCTGACCTCTCCACCCGGCTGCTACACCCATGTAAAAACCAATAGAGAATGCTCAAGAATGACCAGGAACTGTATCTGGATGGAGTTACTATCAATAAGTGATGAGACTTCTGTAACTCTTAGATGATCTTTTTTTAAAAAAACATGTATTTGCATGTAATTCACACATGTGCTTTTACACAGAGATTTAAACAGTTATGAGGAAGGAATCATGGTACGAGGAACTTGTAATCACACTGCAGTAACAGCCCAAGAAATGGAAGAAGGATGCATGTAAGGGTGGGGGTGATGGTCGGCTATTGGTGGCTGTTACAGGTTTAGTAGCTTAATCCCTTCTGTGGGTCAAATTGTCCTGCAGGTGGTTTCACTAGCAGAAGTCTATAAAAACAGTGCAAGCAGAGTAGGATTCTGAACATCATTTTTTTCTGCAAATCTCCCACTACTCTTCTTGGAGGTCCACCACTATATTTGTTAAATGTTGTTAAATGAGACATTCTTTTATGTGAAAGGTACTCTATATAATAACAATCCTTATAATAAAGATACTCTATATAACAAAAATAAGAAGTCCTTGCATTTGAATTTACACTTGTAAGGTCAAAACATCTCAAAGCACTTCAAGGGTATTCATTTGTCAAGGTATAGTTAGCGGCTGATTATTTATGGGAAAACACGACAGCCAATTGCCACCCAGAAAAATCCGCAAATCACCATGAAATAAATGAATCAATTAATCTGGAAGGCTGCTGGCAAAGAGGGAGCAACTCCTTTCTCTTTTTGAAGGCAGTTGGAGAATCGATGATCTGCACAAATTGGAACCGGCCTCAATGTGACTATGGAGCCAAAATGAATAATCAGATTGCACACAACGTATAAGTTGGCTATAACAATAATGTGCCAGTTCCCTCCCCCCCTCTCTCTTTCTCATTTCCTTTCTTTGAGTTTCTTTACATTTCTGTCTCTCTACCATATCTCTCTCTGTCGTGCACCGTCCCTTTACAATTGGCATTTTTCTCTCCTGTTGGTGAAGGTTCAATGAAAAGTCCAGAGTGATTGTAATTTGCAATACATTAACTGTTCTATCAAGAGGTTTTCTTTTTCACATACATATACACAGCTGTTACAACTTACAGAAACTTTGTGGAATGCTTTGAGACATTCTTAACAACACAGATACAAAATCAAATGCAAAGATTCATATTATTATCATCTTAAGTTTGGAGTTAAGATGAAAAAAACAAAGTATGATTTTAACATTTTAACTGTTGACATAGGGAATGCAAAACGAGCAGAAAATAGGGAAAAGAGTATGTACCTTCAGTGGAGGAGCTAGCACTACCACAGACTCAGTGAGCTGAATGATCTTCCTCTATACTGTGATTTCTATCATTCTCCCTCTTGAGGCATTTGATGAACATGATTATTGTTTTATATTTCACTGTATTTATGTACTTGCTACCCTAGGCATACCAGGTCCTCCAGGGTTGAAGGGAAACAAAGGAGAAACAGGGATCAGAGGAGCTACTGGTCTCATTGGAATAAAGGGTGACACAGGTGATCCAGGGCCCTCAGGAAAACAAGGTCCACGAGGTTTGGATGGAGTTCCTGGTTATCGTGGAGAAAAAGGTTCAAAAGGCCCAATAGGGAGCTCTGGTCCTAAAGGAGAGAAGGGTAGTCTAGGAAGGCCTGGTCTACGAGGAGAGATTGGTCCAAAGGGAGATCGAGGACCATTGGGACCAGAAGGCAAGTCTGGGTCACCTGGAGCCAGAGGACCAACGGGAATGCCAGGAGCTCCTGGGCATCAAGGCTCAGCAGGACTCAAGGGAGAAATGGGGCCTCGAGGGCCACATGGGCCCCCAGGGCCATCAGGATTGTTGACAGATGCACTTTGATTTATTTTTAAACTGTTTAACATTACACTTACTGTATCTTCATTTTATAGTTATTTTTCACATTATGTTATATCACAAAGGAAAACAGCTTTGTCTCTATTATAATCATCAATCAACAACTTGTGTTTGACTTTCAGGAAATTACCAAACTGCTGTGGAGTCACAGGAGCAAAAACAATTATTTTCAATCACCACAAGATAGACTATAAAAGCATGACACAAGCCATGCACAGTGACTAGTTTGGCAATGCTCTGAATTAGTGCTTTGGAACTAGCAAAAGGTTAATACATTTTGCAGGTTATTTTTAAGTTCAATTTCAAGATCCTCACACTTGTTTTCAAATCCCTTCATGCCCTGTCACCTCCCTACCTCTCCGACCTGCTTACTCCACCCAACCTACTACCTGCTACCTCCACTTGACTGACTCCAGCCTTCCGCATGTCTCTCATGCCCTCCGTTCCACCATCAGTGGTCATGCTCTCAGCCACTATGCCCCAAAACTCTGGAACACTCTTCCTCTAGCCCTCCACCTTGTCTCTTTCTTCCCCATTTACAGGTCATGCCTGAAGCCATTCCACTTCAGCTGTACCTACAATCACCTTCCCCAGCTCAGTGTCATGGTACACCACTATCAAGTGCTCTGGACACTATCCTGTGTGAGAAGCGCTCTATAAATGCTTCTTGTTGTTGTGTGACAAATCATTTTACATTGCTTGATGTAATCAACTTGTTGTTGTAATGAGTCTACCAAAGCCTGTTGGTAATGAGGTCTTAGCCTCTCAGTGTTTCAGTTTTAATCTTGTAACCTCATGCTCCAGCTGTGAACAATCAATGATATGGTTATTTAAGGGGAGTAACTGGAGAGTAACCTGGGTTTGTGAACCATACTGAAGCATGATAGATTCATTCTCTTTCAGGAGAGGTGGGGTAAGGAGATGAAAATGGAGTTTTACAGGTCATTGTAGCTCTACACCATTATCTTTTGACTACAGAATATAGTGAGCTTTGATCAGACAATGGGGTCATACCTGTGATATGTTGGGTGGTGAGGTAGCATTGAAAATGCAGCCTGTTTGGTGTTAAGTTGCATGCTGTGACCATTGGAGCAGTGGAACACAGCATTTGACTATTAATTTCCAAAATACCAACATATATTTTTGGTGGGTGGATATAAGATGATTATTCTGAGAGTTGGCACTCCTTGACTAGAAAGGCCACCGGCAACCAATTTTGACTTAAGTCAGGGAGAGGAATTTCTAGACTGTGAGTGGGCAGAATTTTCTCTCCAGATCACATCACAATGCTACAATTTCCACCTGAACATTGCCAAATATTTTAATAAGGGTTGAATTGAGGCATCATTCCTGTAATAGTCAGTCCCCATTCATTTGAGTCTGTAAAATGAGACCAGCAATATAACAGTTGTTATTATGTGGGGGCTGGTCAGCACCTCTGTATGATATTGTCACTGACATTACCACACTGTCAGTGCACACAGAAGGTAAATGACTACTCTCACAATCATTTCCAGCTGTCGCTGAGACCCCATTGAAGTCCAGAGACCTTCTGTGCCTGTTCCCCAAGCACAGATACCAGTCACATGTGGATTGAGTTACTCAGGTTTTCTGTGCAGCTGAAAGGCAGTAATTGCTCGTGGCTAAAGACAGTTCTGTGGCTTCAATTAACTTCAGTCAAACTGAGTGGGGGAGGGAGGTGAATTTGGATTTGTAAACAAATTTGGATCACAATTCTCTTTTCCTAATTTGCTCCCCACTGGGATTTGTCTCTCTGCTCCTCGTCTGGTCCACAAGCACCACTGGATACAAGGAGCTATTGTTCATGGTTGAACCTTAGAAGTGAGTGTTGGCAATCACTTGAATGTAAAGGGTGTCACAGGCTAACCTGACATTTCCACCCGGCTGCTATACTATTGTAAAACTCATAGAGAATTTTTAAGAGGGACTAAGGCTGAGGCCAATTCAGCCTCCTATATGGCCCCAGCCTTTCAATAAGTAATGATAGAAGGTTTAATTGAACATTTTAGTGATTATGATAATCAAACCCCACATTTTGAATCCTACTGTGTTTCTTACCAAAGAAGCTCCATAGCTGAACCGTGTGTTTCTTTTAAAGTTAATTACTTTTGACTCCTTATTAGTTTTCTATCTCTTTTAAATTCCTTAGATTTGTATTCATTTTGTTTATTTTGATGATTTCCACAAACTGGGCACAAGATACAACTTCTGATGCTGGAAATGGCCTACCACTTGTTAGACTCTGCAAAAATAGGTCTAAGGTAACAGCTGGTGTCCATCAATTCCCCTGACATCCCCGATGTTCAGTTAAGTGGCAGATCAGGATGTAAATGCATTCAGATGTAGCAGTGGGTGAGCAGGACTCGCCACACAAGTGGAGCACATCACGTTTTCCTTTTATTTACTCTCATTTCTGACCCAACTGCAAAGTTCTCTTAAAAAGTATATTTTTAAGACAAATGTGGAGCCAATTTGGCAAATTCCAAGAGGCTTGTTGGCCAGAACACTTGGAAAATTTTCTTTTTTTNCATATACTGTCATGTATAGTTTAATGTCTCATCCAAAGGATTACACCTTCAACAATGCAGCACTATTCCGGTACTACACTGCTGTATCTTCCTAGGCAGTGAAGTCAAAGAACGAACACAGGGCTTAATCTGTTAACCTTCTGACCCAGAACTGATAATGAACCATTCTTTGCTGTTTATCCTCTCTGTGGCTGTGATTTCCTTTCTATAATGGGATACTTAGAATTTTCAATACTTCTCACTGTGCCTAGACAACTGTTGTACACATTTAATATTACCTTCTTTCTCTTGCATGCAGTGTTCCCACACATAAAACAGCAAAAACTTGCGTTTATATAGTTCCCTTCACATAGGATCATGTCTCGGAGCGCTGACTTAGAATTTTTTAAAAATTGTTTTGGCTACTTACATTTACACCCATGTGTCAAATTATAATATTGTTGTTTGCTTATTGTGTGCATCAGTTAGCTAATAAATTACCCATTTGTAATACATGTATGGTAATGTTATCATATCCTGTATGTAATATCCAAATGAACACTAACAATATCAGACATACATCTGCGGATTTATCCAGAGCCCTATCTGATTGTCCTGATAGTAACTATTGCAGTGCATTTGTCTGATATCTGCAACCAAAATAAATATTACCTAATATCTTATTACAGTCTCAAACATTTTTCCACAAAACAGAACATTGTTTGATGTAAATGGTGAAATGGAAGTGGTTTCCTGTTATTTGTTTTTACTTCTGTTAAGATTGCAGCTGGTTTGCATGCTATTATAAATGTCATCCAATATATGTTAGCATCGTAACTCATATTAATAACCAGGAATCTGAGGCCCTGGATTAATAAATTCAATGTAGAATTTGGTCTTATTGTCTATCATGTCACCAAGCTCTTGAGAAAATATCTTATTATTTTAAAAAAAACATTAAAAATGGTACTCAGTTTTTAACTCTACTTTGTGTTTGTTCTTTTGGACTCTCCTTTCTTACATATTCATGCTAATAATATCCACCCTATATCAATAAACACATGAACTCCAGATTGATTCATGCTGGTTACATTCAGATGATCTTCCTTTTGTGCAATTGCTCACCTTCATGTAGGTATGAGGCAGCCCATGAACATTATCTGATGACTTCTCCACTCACACAGCTTTCTTACCTCTCTTACCATTGGGTTGTCTATATCCCAAGTCTTACTGTATGTTTAATTCTTTGGATAACTATGGAAACAGAAATATAATAAAAGTAATAATCCTTGCATTTGATATAGCAGCTTATGATGTCTTTTTGAGATGTTTCAAAGTGCTTCACAGAATATATTGTGAAGTGAATTGACTGTATACTATGTGGGCGAAATGCAGCAGGCAATTGGCACAGCAATGTCCCACAAACAGTTGTGGCTTGAAGTGACCAATTTATTATCATTTTTTAATTGTTGCATTTGATATACCGCCTTGTCATGTCATTGAGATGTCTCAATCTGCTTCAAAGGACACATTGTAAAGTGCTGGGTGGGTGTGTTGTAGGCGAAACACGGCAGCCAGTGGCGCACAGCAATGTCTCACAAACAACTATGGGGTGAGTGATCGCAATTATATTTGGGGGATTGTTGGTCAGAACACCAGGAGAAACTCCCTTCTCTTTTAATGTCCACCAGAAGAAGCAGATGGGACTTCAGTTTAACGTCTCATTAACATCCAAAGGACGGCACCTCCAACAATGCAACGCCCCAAGCACTGCATTGGAGTATCAACTTAGACAATGTGATTCCAAGAATTAGCGTGGGGTTTGTATCCGCAGCCTTCTGACTCAGTGGCAAGAGTGCTACCACGGAGTTAGGCTGACACTTGATGCTGTGATGGGAAGACAGATGGGTTTTCTGGTAGGATGAGGTTGAATGGGCTGAAAGGACTTCTTCATCCAAACCAATTGTATCATCTTGTGATGCTCTGCCGTGATCAATTAGCTTCAGGAATACATACAGTTCAGGTTCACACATGAAGAGACAAACTTGAGTGAGGCTTTCCAGTGCCCAGCAAACATCAATGAGTCAGAATGAGTCACCACCTTCGAGAAAGGAGTGGATAAAGTATAGGAAACTAATGCAGAGTGAACATTATCCGAGACATTCTTGCTGCGGATTAGCATGTTTGATATAAAAGCTAAATTAAGCTTATGAATGTTACAGATTCTAACTTTAGTTTTTNCAGAAAGTAGAAATCGTTTCTTAACTGAAATTTACTTGGTTTATCAAAGTTTAGTAACTTTAGTGTCAGCCAAAACATTATTCAGTTTTTGGGGCAACAGTAAGTTTAGTTGTGTTCATGATATAAATAGTGAAAAGCAGCAATACTGCACTAAAATATGGTGTATGTTTGAAATGATTCATACATGAATTTAAAAAATCTTGAACATCATTTTTC